TCGTTAGTACTCTTCTAAATTGCGCTGCCTGTAGACCCAGTTCGAATCCTTAGTCGTACTTTGAAAATTTGGTCATAAGTTTTAATTTATCTTTTCTGGCTTTACTCGAACAGATTCTTAAATGGACGATAATGAATCGGATATATTATCTCTTCGATTGTCTTACTTTGATGAAAGGGATTTTTTAAATATAAAAAAATCGAACCCCACCCTTGCGTACTACCGACCACCATGCTTTTTCTAGGGTTTTATTTTGTTAAAAAATTTGTTTAAACCTCTTTTAGACCCCCCCTCCCGCCTCCTTTGTTTTATACCTTGTCTTTCCTATTTTTTCCGTGGCAAACGGGAATGTTAATCGAGTCTACCGATCGGGAGTTGAACATGAGTTAAAGATTAAAATATGATAAAAGAAAGCCTCTTACAACGGTGCGTTTCCAAGAAATTGTGCTGCTTCTCATCACTCAAACAAATAAGTTATAACAAGTGTCCTAATACGTGATGCACTTCTACTTTGAAAGTAACTACAATTCCTCTTTTTTTTTACTCCTGCTTTGTGGGTGGTTAGCCGGTGCCCTGGTGTAGTTGGGGCATTCTTTCCTATCAAACATCTATCGTCCTTATCTATCCCCTTTCTTTTTTGTGTTTGTTACTCTCTTATATCACTTCTAATCTTCGGCGCCTATATGACCCAAATGTGTTATAAGTGCCGGAAAACTCTCACGAAAACACATTACTCGTGCTCTGAACTAATATACGACATACGTTAAGAGAACGAGGAAAAGGAGGATACCGTCGGTCGCAAATGCTGCAAACTTTTCAAAATTCCACTTTGCTGCCAGGACCACTACCTAACGGTCTGAGTGAATTGGTTTTGCTGTATGAGAGGTGTGCAGGTATGCATGATGCATGTGCCTGTGTATTTGGGAACGTGTATCGTATCGCTTGAGAATGCTCCTGTACGAATGTATGGACTTACCCTAGACAGGTTCATGATCTATGTTATCTCTCAGTAATGAGTATTGCTCCTCTGTCCTTGAATTATCCACCTTAACCCCCCTACACAGAAGCAAGGCCTTCTGTGATGTGCCTTTTAGAATGAGAGTGGTGTGACTTAACTTTGGAAAGTTTTGAGAAACATAGATTTAAAAAAAAATATTTTGTTATCAGAAAAGTTAGAACAATGAATTGCATTTCGGTTTCATTGGCCCGAAAATCCCTCAATATATGACCCCATAGAATTTACAACAATTAATCGATTTGGCTTGAGTTTTATTCCATAATACGATTATGATAAGTCAGTTTTCATTTTTCAAAAGCGAGGATAGGGCACTCTTATTCTAAAGAGCGCACACTTGTGTTGTATATGTGATATCTCTTACCGTTTACCTCAAGCTCAAGAGTTTTCCCCTGTCTATATTATATTAACATTGTTCAAGGGAGATGTTTTCTTCTCGAGAATAGGTAGTTGTCTTGGACAGGTTCGACCGTATGTGTTCTCCAGCCTGTTATGGGTGAGCTCAGAACCCCCAGTGGTCAAACGACATCTCGAACCCCAGCAATGAAAGCCAGGCCAGTTTTTTCCTACATGTTACTGGCCAATAGCGATATACCCACCGTTCCAGCTCGTTTTGAACTCATTTGGCCTGGTTATGCGATTTGGCCTGGTGAAGTTCGTTTGTCCTCATTCTGTTCCTGTTCACCTTTGTGAAGTGCACATGTGTATAAATGCTCATGTATTCGCTCACGTACGTATTCTCTCAGGTCGATAGATATATGAGGGCTCACTGACGCACGTATGCGCACGGCCATACGACGCTAAGACATACGCACAGCACGCTTGTATGTAGTTACATATATCCTGATGACTAATTTACTAAATACACATTGTCTCGAAATAGGCGTGCGCACTGTAAATGATTATTGCAATAAGAGGCATAGTTGGCAGCTCGACGATTCAGTCGCACACCGTGTAAGTCTAAAATTGCTTTCATAGAAAAGCGAGTACAGGTGAAAGTGTGCTTGAAAACTGTCAAACATAGATAAGTACATATTATTATTATTATGCCATCTTCATATTTAATTTTTTTTAAACTTCTGTTAACTCGCACTGTTAGCATGATGCACGATAGTTTTCATGCGATATTTTCAGACGAAAATGCAGGTGGTCGGAGGGCGCCACTGGCAGGTCTTACTTCTTTTCTCTCCCTCTGTTGTTTCGGACTATCTGTTTTACTTCACCCCAGCACTAATGGTCCATTATTTTTTCAATGTACTTCTTTTAACTCAGACAAACAAACGTACCAGACGAAAATAAATATTCGCCTAATTTATGACTTACACGGTTTGTCAACTATGACCATCTACAAACCTTTGCGGTTACCCCACATATTGAGTTAGTCGTAACAAAACAGTAGACGTGTGTCGGCCAAGCGTGAAGGTTACCCGGACCCTTTCTCGTTAGCTTTAGGATTGACCGTTAAGAAGACCGTCCGCTCTGATTATTTGTGGCCTTCTTTCGCAAGCTATTAACCCCGTGACCGTTGCTGGTGCGAACCAACACAGATTTGGGAACCACCAAGATTAGATATAACATAGACATACTACAGGGGGAAGTGGCTGTGCTCGTTTCTCTTGTTTTAACCCTATCCGTATGCCCTGGGGTCATTTTGTACCCCCGGTGTTGTATACTTCACATTTTAGAATACTTCTAGTTCGAAGATCTCTTTGAAACGTTCAGTATTTCTCAAAAATCATTTTGGCAGACTGCTATGTGAAGCGTACGGATCGGATTAACGAGTAGATTTCCTCTTTGGAAAGTGGTGGCACAGAGTTCCCCTCATCGTATGTATACGGTAGTAAAACACGACGTACGGGTAGGGTTAAGGCGGAGTGACTTCTACCCCCCCCCCCCCCCCCGGCGAATGTGAAATACACGGCTATCCGTTCGGTATAATGTGTCATGTTTTAAATGCCCTGTCGACACTGAAATATGATGTTGTAAACGCGCGCATGATGATGATGATGATGATGATGATGATGATGATGATGATGATGATGATGATGATGATGATGATGATGATGATGATGATGATGATGATGACGATGGGGGACAAGAAGAAGACATCTAGCCTCTCTTTTATCTAGTAATGACAATAGTAGTAATAACGTCGATGTTATTATTTTGATAATATAGTGATTATGGTAATTGCAGTGCGTGTATATATTCATATTCTGATGTTGATACTACATGGTTAGAGAACAGGAAAGGAGGTGAAATGAGACAATTATTATTTTTAGAGAACATTTTCCGACGCTGTCAGGTTTCGAATTCGGGATCTATTGAAAGAGAGACAAACACCGTTCTTCAAAACCACGAGACCCCCCCCCCCCCCATATGATAATAATAATAATAATAATAATATAATAGTAATGATAATAATAACAACAATAATAATGATAATAGTGATACTACTTCAACTATTACTACCTCCACCTCTACTACCATTACTACTACTACTGTTGTTGTTGTTGTTGTTTTTATTATTATTATTATTATTATTATTATTATTATTATTATTATTATTGTAACAATTTTAATAGCAAGGGCATTATTTGTAGTAGTAGTAGTAGTAATAGTAATATTAGTATTGATATTAGTATTATCGTTGATATTAATTTGTTATGATAATGATAACAATAATAGCATCAATAAGAGTAACGACAATAATGAGTATAATGAAAGTATAATGAGTACTGATAATTCAAAAAGGTAGCGGACGCAATAATAATGCATGTACTGACAAGACCGATAGTTATGGCTGCAGTGGGGAATGCCATAGTGTAAAACAAAATGAAATTACCAGTCTTCAAATTGTAAAGTATTTTCAATAGTGTGTGGATGTTTCGCTGGCACTTAGATTGTACAGTTGTATCTTTGTTTGGGGTACACAGATCTAGTCAGTTAAAGAGCAAGATTTATAAGAAGGAGAGAGAGAGAGAGAGAGAGAGAGAGAGAGAGAGAGAGAGAGAGAGAGAGAGAGAGAGAGAGAGAGAGAGAGAGAGGCAGAGAAAGATTGTGTGTGTGTTTGCCTTTGTATGTGTGTGTGTGTGTGTGTGAGATAAGTAGACAGATAGATAGATAGATAGGTAGGTAGGTAGGTAGGTAGGTAGGTAGGTATGTAGGTAGGTATGTAGGTAGGTAGGTAGGTAGGTAGGTAGGTAGGTAGGTAGGTATGTAGGTAGAGAGAGCGAGAGAGAGAGAGAAAGAGAGAGAGAGAGAGAGAGGGAGAGAGAGAGAGAGCTAGAGAGCTATGGGTGAAAAAGGAGGGGGGAGGGGGAGGAAGTGAGAAGGAGAAAAAAAAGAAAGAGGTGGGAGTGGGGGATGTTGACGGAGCATGGGGAGGGTGACCTGTTTTAGGGTCAAACAAAACAGGGATTACTGCTGTCTCGGCTATCCAGTGTTATACCATGGACAGTTGGAATAATAACTTCAACATATGGGACTTCAGTAACGCTCCCGGTGCTTGTAACAGAAAGGAAGAAATACCCCCCCCCAACCCCCCCCCCCCACAAAACAACAACAACAACAAAACAAAAACAAAACAACAACAACAACAACAACAACAACAACAACAACAACAACAACAACAACAACAGCAATCCCACACAAAATGTCTGTAACATTTAAATAAATAGATAAATCAATAATTAGGTAAATAAATAAATACATGAATACATAAATGATTGATTGATTGAATGAATGAATGAACACTTGAATAAATAAATAAATACACAAATAAATAAATAGATAAATAAATAAATAAACTGATAAAGGAAACACACGGAACTGACCGTAAGCGTTCTGTGGAATCCCCACATACGGCTGACACACATGTATATCCATATCTCAGCTAATCTTGTGGTTTATATTAGCGTTGCCGAAATTACGGTTGTCCAAATGACATTCGGCGCAGACCGAGGGTAAAAAATGCTGTACTTACCAAGCTCCTTCTGCGCCACCGTTAATGATTTTTGGTCCTTGCTCGTTGGAGAGTGAGATTGATTAGCACAGAATGACGTCGGGAAAGTAATCGCCTTCCAGCGCCTCTGTAGTCTGTCGTGTGATAAACGTCTTTGTTTGCTCGCGCGCTCCAAACTGGCCCTTTGACAGGGGTAGGTGTGGCGTGCACTTACTGCTCAAGGCTTTCAACGGGTTGTTGCGATTTGCTCACTTGAAAGACGTGAAGCTCGTTGTAACTTTTGTTTCTGCTGTAGGTTTAAAAAAAAATAAATCTGAAAGTCAAGTAGCGATGCTTTTTAAACTGTTTTGACGATTTCGAGATTGAAGTATTACCCCAGAACAGCGGTGGGAGGGTCTATATTTTGTTTTGCTGCGCTGGTGGGTGCTTGAGGTTTAGCGCTCCGTTTCTTTATCCTACATAGGGCCGTGCTTGTGGCAAAGAGTAAGCACTGGTTAAAGCGATTAAAAAGTCGTTGCTTTTAGTATAATTATCTTTGTCGAAGAGTATGCTCTCATGAATGTACCCAAACTGTCGATGTTTTAATCATAATGTGATAATGATGCAAATAAAATAGGCATAGTTTTACTCCCGTTTTGTAATTTGGAAGAGGTTCTGTCATACAATATCTCGACTACTTCGTACTAGAAAAAACTATGTATTCCTCTTTCCTGCTAATCACAAGTGATAACTCTTGCTAAGTGGAGAATTTCACAAGTTTTGTCCTCGAAGTACTTTCTGGAGTGGGCTGTTTAGCAGGAATGGATACCTGTCGTGTGGATGGATGATCCTGCTTGGGATCGATAAAGGAGAGGTTACGAGGCCCGACCGGTGGTCGTATACCGCGGGCGGCGGTAGTGGTAGCGGGTGGTTGCGTTGACCGGGGTCGCGCGAGGGTTAACTTTTAGGGGTGTCTGTCTCTTCATCTTTGCTGTCTTCGCGTCGCGTCGCGCGGCGCAGCGCGGCGGTGTGGGTGAGAGGAAATACGGTGTCGGCGGCGGTGGCGGTTGCGATGGGCGTGGGAGGGAACAAGGTTATACACCAATAATCACTTTTACCATAATATAATTTCTCTCCGTTTGACAGAATATTGGAGAGTAGTTGGAGGGCACCACTGGTAGCTCCCACGTCTTTTACTTTCCCGTCTTGTTTGTGTCCGTCTGTCGTACCTTTACCCAGCACTGAAATTACCATTATTGTGACGGTGGTTTTTTTGGGGGTCTTTTTTTTTGTTTTGGTTTTTTTTGGTGAGGATTTTACGGCGCTCGCAACTGCATTAGGTCATATGAGTGCGTGGGACACTTTAAACTTTTTCAGTTGGTAGGAACTTTGGAATTTTGCCCGGGTGGCGGCCGAAGCTTATTCTTATCGATTTTAGACTACCAGGGGATCTTTAACGTGCGCAACTTACACACGGGCCCTCCGAGATTTTTTACCCTTGTCCGAAAAGGCTAGGTGTAGATCTTTCCTACCAGAAGATCACGGGTGTGGCTGAAAGACAGCAGAAAGAAGGAGCCAAGGAGTAGCAGTAGAAGGGCTGCAGAAAGAGTCAGGAGCCGAGAGGAAGGGGAAAAGGAGGTGAGGATGTGGGGACAGAAAGAGGAAACGAAAGCAGACGACAGAACATTGCTTGATAGCAGGAAAGGAGGTAAAAGGAGACAATTTTAGAGGAGAAAATTTTTCGGTCGTTACCCGGATTCGCACCCGGGACCTTTGAATGAGAGGTCGAGCCCCCTGTGTCGGTGTGGTTCTCATTACTTAAAAGAATATTTTAAAAAATGACATAATATTATTTGAACCTTTGTTGATAGTTAAGACTTTCTGTTTTCTTTAAAGGACACCCCAGAAACAACTCAGTAGGGGGGGATCCTGTTAAAAGAGAAAGTACAGTATAGATAATAAGAGGTCTACCTACCTACCTACCTACCTACCTACCTATCTATCTATCTATCTATCTATCTATCTATCTATCTATCTATCTATCTATCTATCCATCTATCTATATGTGTGCCTGTGTGTGTGTGTGTGTGTGTGTGTGTGTGTGTGTGTGTGTGTCTGTTTGTCTGTCTGTCGGTCTGTCTGTCTGTCTGTCTGTCTGTCTGTCTGTTGGTCTGTCTGTAGGTCTGTCTGTCTGTCTGCCCTCTCTTCCGGATGGTTCGATGAGGTCAGTGGTCATCCCCACTACTTTCCTCTCCCTCCGTTGTTCTGACAGTTTGACTGAAATTTTAGTGGGTTGTTTGCCAGTGCTCTGATGTGGTTTGCTCCTTCTATCCTATCTCATCATCCTTTTCTCTTCTCCTCCTTTTTGCGTTTGTTACTCTCGTGTTTGACGTCTAATTTTCGACTCTTATTTGACCTAATTGTGTTGTTTGTGACCTGAAAGGCTTTGTGGAAACAGATAAACAAACAAAAATGTAACAATGTCTAACATTATTCCAGGATGAAACGGCCGGTATTCGTTAATGCATTTCTCTGTACTGAAGCTGTAGTAATCTATTCATCACCCCTTTCCTCCCAACCCGCGCGCTCATATGCGGTTGTTGACTCTTTGTGCTGACGCACGTGGCCCAGTTGATTGAAATTAAATCTTGGATACAGTTTAATGGAATGTTTTTCTTGCTAACGGCTTTGTTGGAATCAGCGATGGCCTTGCAATTAAAGACCCGTGATTTGCAGAGAAAAGTTGACCGTGTAATATATATATTTTTCAAATCAGAAATCCTGCGATATCACCAGAAACTACTCCTATTATTCTTTATGGAGAACTCCTGGCAGAACTGAATACTTTCAAGTATCTTGGCAGCACTATCTCTGAAACTGAAGCTTGTATTCCCGACGCCCCATTTAAGATTTAAAAGTGCATGGGTTGCTTTTGTAAAATTAAAAACAATTTGGAAATCATACATAATCGATCGCATTGAATACTTAATTAAAAATATATACCAGTAATATTTTGGCGGTACTGATGTATGGTTCAGCGATATTCTGAAACACAAACAAAGCATTCTAACGGAAATTGAACAGTTTTCATACAGCATGTCTCCGAAGAATTTTATTGATTAATTGGAATGAATCGATCACAAAATCAAAAAGAGAAGATGAAGATATTTGGGATATACTTTGTGAATATCAGAAACAAGATTGCCTGCCTATATGACTCGGTACTGGAGACCAAATGAAAAAAGAAGCGACAGACCTGCTGACAGTTATATCATTACAATCAGTAATGAGGCAATCACCCACGACCTGGACATGTCAGAGCCAGAGGACGTGGCCTGGGACAGACACGCGTGGCGTCGACTCTTCTCTGCCCTGTGTACCCGACGGTACCGGGGGGAAGGTAAGTTTTAGTTAGTATATCCTTGATCGCGAACACTAGTTTGAAAATATCGCTGTCTTTCGTTTTGTTTTCTTAGTTCTTGACTCTTCGAATTATTTAGACCAACGTCTGTAATGTAATGGTGAGGTTCTTGGGCTACCGCGCAAAGCATGGGAGTTCGATTCCTGTGTAGGGAAAATATTTGGTAGAAATCCGTTTTTCTTGTGTCATTTTAAACTGCCCTGGGGCGGGGGCGGCGGGAGTCAAGCGGCCGATACTAAACTAGAACTCTGTCTTGATCTGTCCATGTTTACTTGACTCACAACATGAACAGGAGAAATATTTTTTGTAGCTTGTGTTATATTGTGCTTTGAATTCGACGCTGGTAAATGTCCAGTTGTGCCCAATATGACAAGGCAGAATTTAAGAAATTATGTAGTTGACTGGTGTGGTCATTACACGGTCTTGATATCTTACTTAATCAGAAACAACCCCCCCCCCCCCCTCCTTTCCACCCCCACTTACTATTTTTCATTGTTAGAACAGGTCAGATAAAAGAGACTGAAAATGCTTTTGTTTCTTTAAAAAACTTATGGTTCGATTCCAGCACCATCGTTGTTGAATTCCAATAGTTTTTTAAAGGTAAAATGACAACGTCGGAGTTACAAGGTTGCTGAATCCGGAGCACATTGCCATGACATTTGTTTGCACCCTGATTAAGCACGGCTTCCTATGAATTTTTTACCTCGTCAGGGGTGAATGTGGACATCGCGCTCGAAATCCTGGAGAAGCCGACAAATTCCATCTCTCGATCCCCGACATTTGGGGGCGGACGGGGTAGGTGGGATGGGAGTTGTTGTGAGTCAGGTTTTTCAAGGTTTTAACCTTTCTTTCGACACGTCTGTCTTGGAATTAACGGGATTTAGCAGTGTCATGATAGCCTTGGCGTGTGTTATGTGAATCGGGTGTCTTTTCTGTCCACCTCCCCTTTTGTGTTCGCCATCCCATCCACCTGTTGGGGTCCTCCTCCTCCTCCTCCTCCTCCTCCTCCTC